GAATCCCAAAGGAAGTTATATTTGTTTGAAGGGAAGATTAACACTGTGCTCGCGATATAGCCGCGACCATAGCGTAAAAAAACCATTTTTATTCATTTTTATTCAGCAGAAATGCATAATGGTAGGCAAAAACACACACTGCTGACACATAGGGACAGGTTCTTTCGAGACCTCATCAGAAGGAGGGGGTTAGGTCTTGAACATTCTGAAATCGCCACAACAGATGTTGACCCTGAGTGTTGGTAATTATTCGTTCGTCTCTTAAGGGAGGTGATCGCGATAAGTTCCATGGAGACATTTGGGAAAATTAAATTAGAAGACCTACCCGATATAATGAGTCGATAGTCGACGCTTATAGCTAGGGGCAAAGGTAATATTGTCAGTGGTGATGTAAAGCGCCGCAGCCCATTTCTGATATGCAGCACCACCTATGTATCGGACGAAGAAAAGTTGCAATGGCAGCGTTGATAGATACCGTATCATGATCCGATTTAACTCTGAAAGAGCACCTATCCAACGGCCGATCTCTTTATCTTTATAATATAGTCATAAGATAAGGAGATGCGGCTGCTAAGAATAAAGTACACTCTAGAATGAAAATCGGACAATCACGATAACGGTATCATATCTAGCACGCTCTTGCAGCCCTTTCCACATCGATAAGTCTTGGTTTTTGCTAACCGGAAGTGGATTTCGGCGCCTTATCACTCCGTTGATAAGGCGCCACTGCCACTGAAACTTCACGTGTTGTAACATTGGGCAGGACCCTATCCACTCCAGTACACAGCTTCCCTTATCGTCCCCATGAGAATTATCGTGACCACTTCCTTTAAAAGATGCATGCTTCTTTTGTTGAAATATTATAGTACGCAAGCGTTTCAACAACTCTAATTTTTGCTTGCAGGAATCGTGCAGTGTCTTTTTAAAAAATGAATTGGATCTCACGAATTGTTTGGCGGTTAGATCGCTTGCCGAGAAGTATGAATGTCACGACCTTCTGAGTTTTGCTGAACAATTTATTTTGCACAATTTCCAGGTTGTTAGTTACTGTTTGATACTTTCTCACGCTTAGCTGAAATCGGCAGGTATTTCCTTTTGTTCAGGAAGTTGTCGGTTTAGAAGAGTTTTATCTGCTATCTGTTGACCAGCTGGTCAAATTTATTTCCAGTGAAGAGCTCCAAGTCAGATCAGAGGAGCAGGTAGATTGTTCATTGGGAATAAGATATTGCTTTTTTTCTGCCACCTATCAGTTGGTAATTTTGTTCCAGGTTTTCACGGCGGTAACTCACTGGGGTTAAGTTCAATTTAACAGAACGGAAAAGCTATCTTTCAAAGGTAAGGGTCTTTGTAAATATTTGGCGGATGTTTGAGACATTGCTTTTACAGCTCCTAGAGCATGTTCGTCTTCCACTGTGTAGTCCAAAGTTTCTTGTCGGCACGGTCGGTGAGGACCCGTTGCTGAGTGATGACACCGCCTGCCAAGAGCTTGTCAATGAAGCGAAGGTTGATATTTCGCGGCTTCTGTTCTCCACACTTCCAAGTGACATGACTTTTCAGACCATCTGCTTCTACAGCTGGCTACACTCGAACACTCAAAGTTGCAAGGGCCGCGTATTCGACCGCGCAAAGTACTATCTGGAGAAGTGTTATATGCTGGTATGATGAAGTTCTTTTTTGTATCTCGGGCTCTGCTTGTTCCGGGGTGATACATGGATGAAATTCCGGCCCGTCGGAAGTGAATGCACATTTGTTGAGCAGGGATTATCACCCACTTCTTCAACTAACGCGTTGGACTAATTACCCTTCAACTAATTATTTTTCTTACAAAAAGGTTAATGTTTGGGAGGCCTTATTGATCTAAGTAAGGTGGGTTGTCGCATCGCTTTGCCACAGTAGTGTCTTGCACATTAAAGCCTTTAGACAATCAATTAATCAATTTACGAACTTGGAGGCGTGAGAAGAGATGTTCAGGAACACAGATCAGCAAAGCGGAGCCTCCGCACGTGGGGCTGCTCAGTGGTACACTAATGGCGGAAAAAGAGAAATCCGTCTAGAAAATGCAAGACAGAACCACCTTTTTTGGCTTGATTTTCGCCTGGACGAGTAACTTCTCGAGCAGAGGACGTGTGGACGAGATTACCGCAAGCGTTTGGTGACACCATACCAAACCATGCTCCACCAATCGGGTTGTTCTAGTTGTGCCGCTGCTGGCAACGCAGCTCGTCCAAATCACCAACTAAACTATGTAGTGGGCGGATCGTTTTTTTGGATCAAAGCGGCTTTTCAGCTTGCTGCTCCGCAACCAGCGCCCCGTGATAGTGGGAAAGCGCCCCACACCCAGAGTCAACCCTGCGTTGCGCAGTTCTCAACGGCCACGTTGCGCAGTTTCGCCCGATTAGACACGTTCTCTCGCGCGAACATTCACACTCGCATGCTCGAGCCGTCTGTGTCTCCGCCCATACAGCGTGCGTTGAGGATCTCTCAACGTGCCGTTGCGAACTGCGCAACGCAGGGTTGACTCTGGCCACCAACCTTCGCTTCCTTAGCAGCCAAGTAACTGCCTTGTGTGTGTGCTTCATATGCTTTTCCGATTCGCTCCTTCTTTATCGTAATCGTTTCCTGTAAAACAACATTCCCAGCAGGGTCTATACTTTCGCCCCCCCCCCCCGAGGAAAAAAAAAACTTTCCCAAGGAATGGAGGGCAGTTGCAGGTTTTCAGTTGTGTTTTGTTTATGTTTTGTCAGGCAAGTTTGCACAACTCGTCCTGAGCACCCTTCCTTGATTCCTTGTTTAAAGCTTCATTGGCGGTTTCCTTTGGTTCTTTCCAAGCTTTGCGGTCAGCTCGATATCTATAACTCAATTGTCGACCGCTTTTACCCCGCGAACTAGATTTCGATTTTTGCCCACAGCACACGTGATATCAACTTTTCATCGATAATTTATTCACCTTTGCCACATCGTGCATTTCGCTGTAGGGGAACAGAGTGTACTTTTGATATACTCTTATCTTTTAGTGGGAGGATGGTCCAGAGGACAGGGCTACAGCTCTGTAGAACGCCTCGATCCTGGAGAAGCGGATCCTGTATGGCAGACAGTGACTCCCATGGCAATGCAAAGGCATGGCGGCATTTGTTTTTGTAGATTCTTCATTGCGTATACTCTTGAAAAAGGTTTGTAGGGGTGGCGTTGTAGTTGCTGTTCTCGACAGTATGCTTTACGCTGTTGGCGGCAAAGATGGCGGCAGCTACCTGAACTTCAATGAGAGGTATATTTTTTATATTATAATTATGCAAAGCTGAAATGGAAGTGATTGCCCATTCTTGGCTAGCAGGTGGTCAATGAGGGAGCACTTATTCCTACAATGAATTATCATATAGTCTGTAGAGCCATGATAAAAATTGCGTGCAGAATTGGTGTAATGCCAAGCTACGCTTCCTTCCGAAATGCGTGATCCAGTTGTCATATTCGGATTGAGTCCCGTACCGAGGCCAACCAAGTTTTCCTTCTGTTTGTTATCAGTTGATCGGGGCAGCGTTTTTTTTGTCGGTGGAGGTACTTATTATCTTCTAATTTGGATGCCCCCCCCCCCCCTGAATCACGATCCACTAGCATCTACATACCCCTTGCGATTCTGGACGGAAGTGGAATCTGCAGCGCTCTCTAGAAAAGTTATTGATAAACGCTGTTTTATTTTTAGCCTTCATCTTTACTTTTGTGAATAGGAATCAATCGTGGGTGTATGCTTTAGTCAACATTTCAGATATGATCCTTCCACCAACCGATGGCTCTGTAACCTTGCGCCGACCTCCTCACCTAGAGATTCATTTGGTCTCGTCGCACTCGACGGCTCTCTTTATGCTGTGGGGGGCAGATTTCATGATACTAGTTTGAACGTTGTTGAACGGTAAGCAGTGTTCTGGTCTACTTCCGCTTGTGTTAGTTTCTATATATTTTTGCAGCTACGACGTTCGACGAAATGAATGGATCTATGTCGCTCCTATGGGTACGCGTCGGCATGGAGTTACTGTATCCGTGCTGAATGGCTGCATATACGCCGTCGGCGGAGCCGATACAAATACAGTTCTAAATACCGTGGAGAGGCGAGTCGATGCTTATTTGGCGTTTGCGATATGTGTAATGTAGGTAGGGATTGAATGGCTTACTTCACAAATGGACTATCGATGTCGAGTGCTGTATTCTGTGTCCATCATGAGGGTTAAAAAAAAGCGAGACTCCCAATAGTGCTTGATTTAGTGTGCCGTTTCACTCACAAAAGATATGCGAAAAAGTGTTGATCTGTTCAGGCTCGACCCGCGGGTTGGGAACTGGGAGTCAGTTCCTCCGATGTCAACGTATAGACATCATTTGGGATCTGCAGTCCTTGACGGTTATCTGTATGTTGTTGGAGGACATGATGGCTCGTCCGTATTGAACTCGGTCGAAAGGTATAATCCTATCACCAACGAATGGAACGAGGTGGCTGCCATGAACTGGAAGCGGCATGGTGTGAGTCTGCGCACAGAATTTCGTTTGTTTCATTATCCGTATTTGAAGGGAGTAAACTGTCGCTTGAAGGTCTCGTCGCCACCCCGACTTCCCCCCCGAGGTAGCTGTCGTGAATGGGCAGATATATGCAGTGGGTGGGGAAGACACTGCCGATCTCAACAGCGTGGAGGTTTTTGCTCAAGAAACCAACCAATGGGTGCAACACAGCTCCATGAAAGAGCCGTTAGTCGCCATTTTCGCTTTGTTGTTGTTGTTTTTTTTTTAATTTTTCTGGTTCTACAAGACATGTTGACAAACAGTTTATCTGCCAGTAAACATTTTTAGGCGATTTGAGGCTGGCCTGGGTGTTATCCGAATGCCGTAGCAGGTCTAGAAGCGCAATCGGATTGCGATTCACTCATTAACTGCAACTTCTTTCGCTGTCTTATCTACCTACTAATTTCAGATAATCATTCGCCATTTGTAAGACCGCTGAGTTGGTAATCCTTCTTTGTAAAGTAACTGACGTTTTTTCTCTGTATATATTGCACTATAACCGTGAAGCTGATGATTATTTTGCATGATTTTGTACAATACCCAAGAAGCAAATTTCATGAATTATTTCGTAATGTGTAGTTCTACGAGCATTGATATGAATTTTTGAAGTTTCTTTTGTTCCAATGTACATTAAGATCAAGGTGAGGCTTCAGGATAGGACAGTTCTGAATTGGCGAGTGCCGAAAATCGTCTATCTCTGATTGCGATGAGTCAAAGGATGCGCAAAGTAAGACGGCAATTTTAAAGGGACGACTCGATGGGGGAGTAATTGGATTATCTAAGCAAAAGTGTATTTAGATGATTTAACAACACAAAGCTTCACAAGTACAGTAAATACATTGGATGGTAAGTTCGCAGGGCTCCAGCTGGCTGGTCGTAGTAAAGAATCTAAGTTTACTTTGAAGAAGGCTGCCTATTGGGAATCAGTGAAGGGAGAGGGGGGGGGGTCAGTGGTGCAGGTATGAAAAAAAAACTATAAGGAACGGCCCGGAACCTGCGAAAAAGAGTTCCTTTCTGCCCTTGATTTCCGCATTGATGTGCCTCGCATCAGCGCTGCCGTCTCAGCGCTAACGCTCTCTATTATGCTAAACGGCGAAGGTGGGCGGGCAGCGGCGCTAGCGGCGAGGAGATGGTCTTGCTAGGCCGCAGGGGCGCACCTTTCGCTGCGAAATGCGCATCGTCCCGTACCCTTATAGGGACCACCACAAAAAGCAGCCTAATAGTTCATGAATTTCGCGTGTATATAATCGATGATGGGAAAGCAACCATCCTTTAATATTGCCCTTTTACTGTTTATGAGGCCCCCTCGGTGCGAATTCGGTGAGTTGCTTCCCTAGGAGCTACTCAGTAGGGTAATCAACAGGAAGTGCGCGGCGGAACAGAGGATTCCATTTGAAAAATGATAGAGGGCTTCTAACAACGGACTGGAAAACATGGGGAGCTCAGGTACACAGGGGAAATAACGCGGTTATGATCAGTGATTACGGTATTGCTGGTGAGAGCGATGGCGGTTTGATAACGTCATCGGCGGAAGGGTTTTGCGCGGAATTCCTCTGGTACGCTGGTGGTCATGAAGTCACCGGCCTCTTCCCCATTTCAGATGGGATATTAATTAATGGATGCTTCTTTTCGCTTGTTTTCATCGATTTGGGTGGTGCCTACAGGGTGGACACAGTTTACGAAAAATTTTGGAAATCTCACGAGTAAATCATCAATTCGAATCCTAACGATTAAAACAACTCACTATTTAATAGGAAGCAATATTCCGCATTTGTATTTGGATCTGCCCCCACCGTTTCTTGTTGGGTCTGGTCTACATAGGGAAGGAAGGAGGCATCCATGGTGGTGTGCCAAGTGCCTTCAGGTTCGTTCTAGTCTCTTAACCCATAACGGACGGCCAGTGTATTTTTCGCGTGCGCCACCATGTGGCGCACGCCGCCACCCAGGGTAGGGTTTATGTAGGCTTATGCGAACAGCAGGGTTAAGACGGGGCTAAAGTAGGTGTCCGTGTCTCATCATCCAAAAGAAGAGATTTCCGTTGACGACAAGTTCGTAACCCGCCTTTCCGCTCTAAAACTAGGGTGCAAAGAATGAATGGAAGCTGTAGGTGACATTATCGAAAAATGCGAAACAACAACCCCGAGCAAGGATGTGGCTATATAGGGGAAGGGGTCTCGGAACGTGTGAGCATGGGTGAGCTACCCATTCAATAGTAAACTTATGTAAATTAACCCAAAACGGACGGCGTGCGCCATATGGTGGCGCACGATTACTTCTTTTGTTTTTGTTAGGTTTCTAACAATCTTATATATCCGTATTACAGTAGCGGTCAAAAGTTTGGAAACTTTTTATTTTTGATCTAGTGTAGCCAATAGACAATGAAATTGTCCCAAATTCACATATTATATTCAGAATCCAGTGTAGATTACGATAAGCAACATAATTTTTTGAAAACTGAAATCGCATTTGAAAAATACGAATTTTTATAAGAAATGGCGCGTCAAAAGTTTGGAAACTTCCGAATTCCAAAGCGAATTCGGCAAAATAGCTCTCAAATCCACATGATAAATTAGTTATTTGATGAGTAGCTTTAAATTTCTATGTTAGCGTCGTTTTTATTGACATGGAGTTGATTATAAAATAATTTTAGGACTTTTAAGTCGAACCCTACACACTGTGAACTAAATCACATTGTTTGGTGGGATTCTTAACTGGAATGTGGGTTGAGCGACATGCCAGTTCTTCCGTGGGATGTAGAACTCAATTAGACTTCAGATCTTGACTTGGTCGCTTCATAACAGCTTCTTTTTCTGGGTTTAGGAAGGCGGCAGTGAGGAGGTAGGCCTGCATTGGGTCATTTCCGCGATAGAAAACCCATCTTTTCCGGCTAGTTCTGACTATCGAAGGGAAGCATTGTATTCTACAGACTATACTTGTACTTAGCCCAACCCACATTTCGCTGGATACCTAGAACTGGGGAATCGCCGAATGGTCGGACACATCTCCATCCATGGCAATACTTCCACTATTTCTGAATGTTGGGATCTTATACTCTAAATGAGGTTTCCATTTGACTGAACACTTCACAGGGTCCACAACATCATTTTTAGGAAGATAGAAATCCTGCTCGTCGCTGAGGACAAAGTTTTACCTCTCGCCTTAGGTCTATGTTAGCCGTTAGTGTGCGGAAGCCAGTTGGGCCATCCTGCTATTGAAGCCCAACAATGGCTTCTTGTTGGGATATCATCCGTGATATTCACCAGGTCGTGGCCGATGTTGGGCTGTGCTTGGACTTTCATACGATTAGGTTCAAACCAGAAAAAATCGTCTTTAGTTGGGCATATCGGGGTACGGGGCGTGCCAACCACCCTTTGAAGTATTTGAGGAGGGCCAATTTTCTTGTGAGAATACTTTTTTGTGAATGGTCATTCGTCTTATGCTTACTCGGCTCCAAAAACACTAAAAACATTCGATAATATTGCTTTCGTAGAGACTGAACTACTAAGAAACAATTTCAATTTCGTATTCCGGATTGTAGGGTTTAAAAAAGGACCTCCCATGGAAAAACTGCTTTCCTTTGCATATGAATTCATTTTGAAATTACACATTGCTCAATGGTTTAACTAAAATTAACAGAAACAAGTGAAACATTGAAGAGTAGGAATCATAATGATAGGAG